CACAATCACCAGCATGTTCAAGTCCGTAGTTTTGGCTACTGTGCCAATCCATCTCACCGAGGGTCTTACCCTCGGTGGCTCTCTGCTTCACCAAAGATGATGTTCTCCTCTAGTGACTGATCCTTCCTGATGAAGTGTCAAAATCAACCAAGTCGGACAATGTTCTGTTGTGGTCCTTAATATTTTCATTGGCTTATTTTTGGAAGTAGGTTGCCAGGCCTTTCTCCCTAGTCTGTCTTATTGTGAAAAGTCTGCTGAAACCTGTCCAACACTGGTGACCCTACTAGTATTTGAAATACCAGTGGCATAGCTTCCAGCATCACATCAACATGCAAGCCACCACAGTACGACAAAGTGACAGACAGGTGGTGATCCCCCAGACCACGAATCTTTCTTCCTTCATGAATTTGCCTATTCTGGACATTTCATATAAATGGAATCATATAATATGTGGTTTTTGCGTTAGCTTCTTTCACTCCAGTTAATGTTTTTGACGTTCATTCATGAAGTAGAATGTGTCCGTATTTCATTCCTTTTTATTGTCCAGTAGCACTCCATTGTATGGAAACAATGTTTTAATGTCCTTATTTTACCTGCATGCATTTCCTTTTCTCTGACATTAATGATTGTCTTGGTTTTTTCGTTTGCTTGGTGTTCTCATATGTGTCACTCTCCTCCATTTCCATATAAAGCTCTGTTAATATCCTTTTTTTCAACACAGTAATTTCAACTTCTTGAGGAAATCTTCCATTAGGTCCTGCTCCAGTCAGCTTCTGTCTGGACTGTACATACCAGACACACACAGTTCAGAAGCACTTTTGTCCTGAGCAGTTGAGTTCCAGTTCAACTAAACCAACTCCTTTCTGGCTCAGACCCATTCACTTTGAACAGAAGGTGTACCACAGTGAATCCCAGACTTAAGCTACATCAGAATCTTCTGGGATGCTTGTAGATTCCTAGGTCCCACTCACAGGATTTTGATTCCTTAGATCTAGGGAGGGATTCTACATGTTTAACAGGGACCCTCACTATCCTGATACAAATGATCTAGAGACTGTATTTTCAGATATGCTTATCTAAATTTGCTACCAATAATACCCATGAAGGGTTTTGTTTGTTTTGTTTTGTTTGTGGGGGAGTGTGAGGGGGCTGGTTGTCTGCTTTTTGTTGTTTAAATATAGTCAGCTCCTGAATGTTTAGTAATGAGAATAGCTGATACCTAGGCATCCAGAGCCCCTGTACCTTAGAGGGCCCAGCTCTGACCTTCTTCCATTCTCACCCCTCTCCCCAGGGTGACGAGTCCCAGAGCACATGCCCACCTGGAGTGCATACCAGCCCCTTCTAGATTACACTCTGGATACTCAGTACCCTGGTATTCCTTGCCTGCATGCCCACTTCCAGGGCCTGCACGGGCCTCTTCCTGTCAGAACCAGTATGCTCACTCCTAAGTACAAGGCACAGATAAGGGTGACTGTTGGCTTGCAGGTGAGGACAAGTTGGATAGGCAGCCAGAGTGCTCACATGCATGTGTAGGAGGCCCCTTAAATACCGAAGGAGTCGGTGGGAAGAAAGGAGGTGGAGGGCGTAAGCCACACCTGGGAGTTTCCATTTGTACTTTTGTCTTGAACCCTGCAAATCTTACAGGACGCCTGAGGACAGGAATAGCATGGCTTAATAAAAGTCAGATATGATTCACAAAGGTAACTTTTGTTTTTAGTTCTTTCACTGTGGCTGTTAAGCAAGTGGGTTTTGCCTGATTTCCCTTTTTCAGGCATGTTGGTGGAACTGGCAGTGAATAATAAAATGTCCCAGTGTTAAGCAATTGGAGAGTAAAGAGGGACCCACAAAGGAACAAATTTTAATAATAAGTTGCACCAGAAATCTCAAAATTATTAAATTGACTCTGGTAGCCCTTTCTGTGTTTAATCATTTGATTGCTAAAGCACACATATAGAACAGCTTCAGCCTGAAACAGTGATTTGACACTTCAGTAGAGTGAGGCAAAAGGAGGCTAATAATGGCGGATTTAGGGCAGCACAGTGGAAATCTACACAGCACCAATTCCTTCCCCTAGAACAGCTTCCCAGATTTGCTTTGAAAAACTACATGCAGTCATTGCCTCGGTGGGACTGTGTTTCAGTCCCCTCCCCTGGCTTCTCCTGGCCAAGGAGTGGGTGGGCACCTGATCTAAGTTAATCTGTCGGCTGATCCTGACGTAAGGAATGAGAGTGGTTGGAGTCAGTTTATCCTAAATGTCTTTCTACTCCTGTTACCGAGATCCTGAGAGAAGTTCTGGTTCTTGCCCACTTGTCTCTTCACTTTTCTTTAGCTCTTTTTGGCTTTCTTCTATTTTTCAGTTAATTCCTTTTTTGCCTAAATTATCTGAATTTGTTTCTGTTGTTTCAAGCCAAAGAACACTAAGTGATAGACGCAAACCAGCTGAAAGCAAGTGTCAGTGATTTTGTAGGACTTTTGATATTAATTCCCATTTGACTAAAAATTTTGCTTGGTTATTTTTTTTCCCATATTTTTAAATGGTTTGTCATTACACTTAATCTGTGCCATCTTTTCAACTAAATGCCGGGCACAACATCTCTCAGATGCATATTAGTATATGACTGTAGAAAATTTAGAACTCTCTTCACTTTTACCAGGTAGTCCCTTCTCTGCAAAAAACCTCTCCATGCTTTTGCCATTCTATATTAGCAGTTCTCAAAGACCAGTTAACTGCATCTCCTTTGAGGTTGAGGAAATGACCCCTCAATTTATAGTTAATTTTATATAATATTTGAGGTTGCTTGTTACATATGATGTGAGGCTGCAGTGTTTAAATTGCAGTAAATTTTATTAAAGCAAAGGAAAGCTACAGCTTTCCAAACAATTGGGAAGTTGTGGTTCCACTACCATATTCCTCCTTTATAACAGCCAGGAAGAAAGAAGACACGTGTTCCATATTATTTCTTCAAAAGGGTCTGGGGGAAAAAGAGAAAGGAAGAGATTAACTGACTTCATTTAACACTTGGAGCTATAAATCATGTGTTGCAATATGATGATAGGATGTTGCATCAGAATGTGGCAGTTGTAATGATATAGTGGGTATCACAACCATGAGGAGGTCTTTGTGGTGCTCTGTGCCCTTTTCCTAAAGATTGAACTCCAAGTTTAGATCCCTCCTGCTCTTCCAAGGAGGAAGGTGTTACTTAAGTTACAATTTACTTCACTCTAGTTTTATTCTCTTGGTCTAGGGCATGGGGGTCTCTTTTTGGTTGAAGGTTTGCTTGAGCAGATATTACTGTACTGAGGTCCCAGTGTCCCTTTTGTTCCCTGTTACCACATTCAAGCAGGGAAGTGCTAAGGTTTCTTCACTTCTTCCTGGAAGTCTGTCGGGAAAGCTGGGAGGCATTATGGCAAGGCTGTAATGTCTTTACTCTCAGAACCGTTAGTTTTGAAAGTGTATGTAATATTTCCTGAATATTTCACTTTGCCTTTATCTCAAGAGTTGAAAGATAGTAAGTGACTAGGAATTTGTCCCTGGGAAACAAGGCTGAAGGTGAGGGTATATGGAGTATATGTCAGCAAGATTCTTCATAGTTCAAGGTAGAATGTTTGGTACGTAATTTTTTTTTT